GAGTTTTTAACCGGATAGTGATAATCAAACATTAATTTTAAATACAGCGAGAGTCGTTTAGGATTAATTAGATTCTATTTTTTTTTCAAAAAGTATCTTTGGATTTTAAATGAGACAGCGAGAGAAAGAATTTAAGATTAATTATATAATCCGAATCAACAATCATGAGAGTGTAAGATAAAGGTTTTTAAACGGATAGTTTCTACTGAACCGTTTTAAATACTAAAAGCTATGCCAATGAATTACTGAATTCCCAAAGTCAGACTATTACGTATCAGTGTCCCGTTATTTAATATTTCAATTAAGTATAAGCTTATTTTCGTTTACCCCAAAACCTAAGATTTATTATTAGCCTTAGCTTTACATAGTTACTTTAGATAGCAGTAATTTGATTATCAATCCTTGTGGGTTCGATATCTTTTAAAAATAAACGATTAAACTGTGCACTTGCAGTTAATACAACCGATAAACTCTTAAATTTGCGATCAACATTCCCCATGGATAACCACGGGGCATCTGGAATTGAGGATCAGAAACAACAGGAGTAGCAGAAGTGGGCACTTTCAGTATCTCAGATATAACTGTTGTCTGTTGCGGTTGAGTAACATGAGAAAAAGGAGATGGAGGAGGGGGTGGTTGATTCTGAGCAACTACCAACGACTCCACCAGAGTAGTTGGATTAGTCATTCCAGTTCTTAAAGCAGTAACTTCTTCCCTGAGCTCATGATTTTCTCGTTTTAAATGTTCCATCTTCTTTTTGCAGTTATCCCAAGTGTTGTAAGAGTGAGACAACTTGCTAACTGAACAATGCAGAAGAAACATATAAGACACCTGAGGAAAATAGGAATGCAAAGATATGTGAGAAATGATGCATGATATGCAATGCACATGATTTATTTTGTTTATTTAATTTTCAAAGAACATTAAAGAACTATAACAATTGCAAACATTAAAGGAATAACACATTTTGAAATTCACTTGGATTATATATATATATAATATCTATTTTTTAGGTTTTACTTTTTTATTGGCGAGCGTCTTAAAAATAAATACCCAAACGAGATACAAAAACAAAACTTTTACTGATATAATAATTGTTCTTAAAACGGGAATAAAATTCAGATATTGAAAAATATTCAAACCAACAACATCAAAATTAACTTGCTGAAAGAAATAACAAAGGGAAACAAAAATCTTCTAAGTGCGCCTACATATATCTTCCCTGAAACCATCAACCATAGTCCTACAAAGCTTGAGGAAGTCTTCAACATTCTTCGGGACATGGACCATCACATTTTCCGCATCACTCAAACTTCTAGGTATGTCCTCAAAGAGATTGTTGGATAAGAAGGCGAGTTTTGCATGTTTGTCATTATAGAAACGATATTCCTGGTAGAGGTCCAAAATCATCTTATGATTATCCTTTCCTGCTTTGGAGATCTTTGCATAATGCTCTTCCTAATATATTTTTTCAGCCCTCATCTCCGTATAAAGTTTCCTTTGTATGAGGAAATTCTTTTCGAGGTCTTCTAACTCATGACAAACTTTCTTATATTCGTCAGTCTTTTGTGAGAGAAGTCTTTTTTCCCTCATCCTCTTGAGACGTTCCCCTACGTCAGATTCTTGGCTATCTTGGAGTTTGGTAGTAAGAAACTTCATTTGGTCTTCTTGGTCTAAAGAAGCTTGTGCTAAACTTTGAATTTGAGCCCTCAAATTTTCTTCCATCTCCTTTTTGTCTTGTAAATCCTTTTCGTACCACCTACTTAGCTTCCTAATTTCACTGGCAGCATCTTCCAAACGTTGGTTATGGAAATTCAAGTTAAAGGTAGCACTCAACAACCCTTCAATTGAACGTTTCCGCTTAAGACTCTCCTTTTCAAATGCTTCACGGTATTTCTGAATCTGTTGATCGTTGTACTCAAGCTCGCGTTGCATTTTTTCTTCTCCTTAGCTAAGTTACGAAGGCTAAGCTGTAATTCTTCTTTCTCCTTTTGAGCTTTATTCAAAGTTTTCTTCAAGTTGTCTATTTCTTCTAAGGACATAGGCAGAGGATCTGGGACATCTGGCTTGTACTCAGGATCAACTTCAAATGGTAACTTAACAACTTGTACCCCATCCAAAACCCATCGAGTGTAAGGTTCTTTCGCCACGACATTCTTTCTTTCAGCCTTTCTCTTGTTAACCCTATTCCAAGCTCGGATGATTTTGTTGAGAAATTCTCGGTCATTTTTGCCCATGTCGTGAATGATTAATTATTGAAGTTGTTCATCAAAGGGTTTATCCTCTAAAGGGTATCCTAGTTTCCGCAAAGCCAAAGTAGGGCTTCAATTGATGCAACTACGTGACCCAATCAATGGAGCATTAAAAAAATCTCTGCAATTGTAAATGATATCTCCAATGTCTAGCTTTCTTGCATACCACAACACATAATCAACAATAAGAGATATTAATTTTTGAGGCCACTCGTATCTTGTCAGGTTTAGGACCATGTAGTATTCCTTATAGAGATGAGTCATAAACAAATAATATAAGAGTAGGATACATTAGTTTAGCGTACCCCTCCCCTTTTCATAACGAGTGTGAATAGCATAGTAAATCTCAGCAACCAAAGTGGGAGTTAGATCCGCATTCAAAACTTTTGCGCCCCAAAATACACTAATAGCTACAAGGTCAATATAGTCCAAAGAAACACAATTACACCAAATGTAAGTAACCCTAAACAATCAACACAAGCCTCCCATTCTTTGTTATTGGCAAAAGAAAGGGATTTAGCTTCCAAATAGTGTCTTTTAACCCCTTGTACATCACCTTCTTTCTTGTAATTAAGTGAAATTTCAGGATAAGGGGTCCCTAAACCATTTTCTAAGTCCTTAATGTCAATAGTTTGTCCAATTCACACATATATTGTTCCCTTATAAAAATTCAAAAGTCTATCAAATTCTTCCAAAGTCAGCGCTAGTTGAAAGTCCTGGAAGGTAAAACACCTCAATGGAGGATCGTAGAACTAAACGAAGGTAGAAATATAATCCAATTTTACATACACCTTTGTCAACTCAAGGGTATCCCCATAACGGCGAGTAAACATATTCAAAGATTTTTCAGACAGTTTCCCTTTGATGGTCGCGCTCTTCGTCATATCTGGCTTGACGACATTAACACGGACAAGTTATTTCCTCCTGGGATTCATTTTTAAGACACTTCAGCAAAAACCTTTGAATATTTTTTTTATCCTGTGAATAAGGCAGACAAAAAAAAGGAATGGAGAATAATGAATATGTGAAATGCACTATGTATGAATGCATGATTGTGTGACATTGCTGCACCCCAAAATTTTCCCTCTTTATTTTACCTTACATGGCTTGTGTTTATCATACATACTCGTGCATTATCATGATAGGATCAAGGAATTTAGGTTCCCAAGTTCCTCTGTAAGCTATTTAGAGATGGTTGTATTGACAATCAGCCTAAGGAGGATCTCATATCCTTTTTCTTCTATTGATTAAAGCTACTAAGGCCACCCAGGCTTTCTGACGTCTCAAGTTAATTCTTTGTGTCATCAGAGAGTTGAAATTTGCAAGGGTTTTGAAGGTTTCATGAATTAGGGTTTGATATTCTTGAATACTTTCTCTTTCATTAAGCTACAAGGCTATTATCTTCATCTGAACATCAAGCTGTAGGATTTTATTGTCAAGAAATCAAGGGTGTGACCTAGCACACATGGTCTTTGAATCAATACATCTCCTCATATGAGTGTGCTTATCATTTGGTCAAGGTTAATATCTATGGCATTGTTACATTGGATTCATCTATTCATCAGTCAATTAATTAGGGTTGTCTATATCACGATTTAAGATACTTTGTTTGAAGGTCTTCTTGCTCGATAATCAAGGTATTATCATTGGAAATTCAATCTAGAGATTAAGGTTTCAAATGAGATGCGAATATAGAATACAAGTTTGTTTTAATGCATTTCTTATGGAGAGCAAACATAGATACAAGGGCTAATGCATTAGGGATTCAACATATCCTAGGTCATTCAAGGCATGGTTAAGGTTATAACTTTCAATACCATTTAACATTTTTCTTGGTTCTAAGTTCATCAAAATTCATTCAACAATACTCAAGTTGTGATTCAAGATGTGATTCATTCAAGTGGAGTTCATTCAGAATTCAAGAAGCAAAAATATCAAAATCAAACTAATTCATCCATTGACTTCATTAAAAAATGATTCAAGTTAATTTCTATTTCAATTATCATATACCATGTTCATTACACCATAACCATCACGAATCCAAACACCATTAATCATTTCAAATCCTTGGTGAATTACAAGTTAAAGTACAAAGTTGATTCATTTCAAAAGCTATTAAATTTCATTACAAACATTATGAGTTCATTATAAATTCTTTACAAGAAATACACAAAATCAATCAGATTGCCTAAATCTAAAGTCTAAACTCCAAGCTTCCATGGCACATCTTTGATTCAGCTCTAAAACATTGTTATAACTTTCACCAATACATGCTGCCATACTTTTCTCACCAAGGTTCTTCATTAATACACCAAGGATAATCTCCAAGATTGTTTCTCCATCCTCACCATTATTTCCGTTCATGAAACAAAAGAAAAGGAAATCGGTTAGCAAAAAGATTGAAGCATTGAAACTTACACAAAAAGCTTTCACACAAAGAGGTTTTTAGTCTCATTATTAAGGATTTTGCAGGAATCAGATATAAGGGTGTTTTTTGTTCATGTTCATCAATAATCAAGGCCTCATACTTTTTTTCAACAAAGTCAAAATTCAAGAGTTAATCACAGGCCTTTTCTTAGTAGGACAAAATTAAAGAGAAACATAGTTATTAAAAAATCAGTAAAAGGCTCATCTTGATTACAAAGCAGTATAGAAATTGCAAATCCGAGCCATAGCTTCAGATTAAGTAATCAGTCAGTATAAAAAGAAAGAAAAACATATAGAGTTCAAAATAGATGCCCTGATATAATGTCAAAACCGGTTCACCAAAACATCACAAAAATAATGTTATGTATCAGTTCAAATAATAAAATTGCAGAGAGAATCAAATCAAAAAGTATCAAAATCCCCTTCTACTGCTGCATCAGTTATAGAGAAAATATTAGAAAAAAAACCAGAGGCAAAAGTTCAATTACAGCTCAGCAAAGCTTTGAAAGCAACTTTCATTTCTAATCTATCCTCACCCTCCAATACTTGTAACAAACTTTAGCATTCAAAGGCCAAGATTGTCTCAATCCCTAACTAACTTTCTTAGCTTTAGTAGATTATAAAATAGGAAGTTCACACGGATCACGATTCATTCTCCAATCATTGGAAGAATCATCCAAAAATATCCACAAAATCCTCTCTACACTCTCAAATTCAAGATTCATTTTTCATCATACACAAAAATTCAAAATCTCTTCCACAATTTAGAAAGATTACAAAAAAAAGCTATCAAGCTAACAATGAAAAACCCTAACTCATCATCACCTTCCTAATCTACAAACCCTTTAGATCAGAGAAAGAAGAATAAGAACAAATCACAAGGATCATAAGAGTCAAAAGGCTCAAAGACAGAAACAAATCACCGTAAAGATGCCGTAGTATGGAGATATAACACCGCACTTGCTTGGTTCTCCCGAACTCTCTTTCGCTCCTCTTTCTTTCGTTTTCCTTGATTTACGCCTTTTTCTTCATAGATCGTTGACATTTGGTTATTTTTGAATAGTTAGGGTCTCGTCTTTCCCCTTCAAGATCTACACACAATCATCATATTTCTGCACAATCAAACGATGGATTAGTTACGAGAAGAAGAAGACGAAGCGATCAGTATAACAAAATTGAAGATCGGCACATTTTGAGGTGTCGCTGCCGTTGCCGCCGCAAGGAGATTTCCGGCGCGACAGATGTTTCCTCTTCAGCGAGACTCATGCAGAGATAACGGGAGAACACATGGTTGAGAGAGAGATACTACTCTATTTTGTTTTAATTTAATTTAGTGTTTAATTTTGTTAAATCAACCTCTTAATTAGAACGCTAATCATGCGGTGACACTTGTCACCACCATTGTGGCTTTTTTCCGATTCTATGCAGGTATCTCACGGTAGAAACCATGGTCCCTCTCATCATTATCCTCCAATCTCTCCAGATCTCTATCATATGGCCAAAGGCGAGTCTTCACGATGCTCTTCTCACGGAGCAACATGCCAGATCACACGGACCTCATTCGTTCCCTTGCATCTCGCCTTGACGCTTATCATGTGCCTGCACGATCTCAGCCCTCAAATCATCATCTAACGTTCCACATGTGAGCCCTCACGCTACACCTCTTGGAGCGCACCTCACAGTATCATCTGCATTCCACCTTTGGTTTCTGTTGCAGGGCATAGCGAAATTGCTTTCCAAGACCCCCCGTAATTGCTGATTTTAGGCCTAATTCTACCCTTTTTATATTACTTTTTGTATTGTTTGCTTAAAAATTTTTCTTAGCAACCAAAATTATAAAAAATATACTTTTGTTTTAAATAATTAATTATATTGAAAAATATTATTTGATATCATTAATTATTTTGTTAATCAATGTTATCAAAATGATGGTTCACTTTAATTAATAGTTTAATTAATTTCGATTGGTTTGAATTGTTTGTTTGTTTAGAATTTTAATCGTGTTGTCGATTTAATACATCCTCATTAATAAACTTGTACCCCCATTCCCATATGGCTTGTAATAGCTTATAATTTTATTTCTTTGTATGTTTTAATTTTTGCTCAAGTATGCACGAATCATCCAATTAAAACACATGGCCTACTCTTGGTCCACATACCAAGATTTTCATAAAGGGTTTCATAGTTGAGTTTGGGCATGGCCATTCTCACGATATTAACCAGGTTTTGCCCTTGGTTAATCATAACCCGAATCAATCACTTTGGTCCATATACCAAGTGTTCCATGCACAAAAGGGTCTCATGGTTAAGGGTAGGAGCACCTACTCTCACGAGATTAATTAAGTATACCCCTTGGTTAATCATAAGCCGACTTAACTCCCTTACACCCAACACTCCATTTATCTTGTGGATACTTATGCTATTATTTTGCGATCTATTGTTGACGCAACCCAGGTACCTAATCATTGGTTGATGGAGGAAGCTCAAGGAGGCGTTCAATAGAGTTTTTTTATCTCATGCGCATTGAAGAGGAAACAGACCTTCTCCGTTACGTATCATCATACCTCTCTTTATCTCTCATTCTCGAATGTTAATACATAATTATTGATGTCTTGTCATCTCTTTGTGTGATGTTCTATCATCTCTTCTCCCTTATTTATTAGACTCTGCTCTCGTATACTCCCCATAGGATCTTCAATTCACTCTTTTCTATGTTTGAATTGAATAAACCTTAGGCTTGTGTCAATGTATGCCAACATTAGGTAGATGTTCCACTCTCCTATCCTCAACTCTAGGATCAACAATGCATGACAACTTTAGGGCTATTTTTCTAGTCTCCACTTAGACTTTTCTTTCTTCTTTTGCATCTCATTAAAACAAAATCTTCTTTTTCTTTAAAACTTCAAAACACTTAAAAATTACTGATGAGAATCATAACTTATTTGAGTATGGGAGATGATAAGTGGGTTTCTTATCGATCTTATTATTCTTATATTCTAGGCTTTGGTGTGGTTTAAGTCTCATAGACTTCTTTCATGAATAACTGGAGAAGTGGCTAATATCTCTCTCTTGAGATCAACTAGCTATTATCTGCAACAACAAAAACACCAACAAATGCAAACTCTTTTTCGCCTTCGGACCCTTTCTTTCAAACCGTTCAAAAGAACATGTTAATTCATTTCTGTGCTGACGCATGAATCTCGAAAGGTTGAGTTGCGGCAGAAGGCGAAATTAATAGTGTTCATTAAAAAAATACAAAACAAATATAAACTTTTGAGCCAAACTACGACACTCTGATTACTTAAAAGGGATACGTAGGCATCTAGTCACGAGGCTCAGCTGAGCGACCTTTGTAATATTTCCTTCTTTTCCCCGTGTTTTCTATTTTGCATTCATTCCCCCTTTGCATCTTTATTTTTAGCTCTTAAGCTTTAGATATGGATTTTATACACCCTTACATTAGAACAAACATAAGTGGATCCTTGTGGAGTACCACAAACATGTGGGGTGCTAATACCTTCCCCTTGCATCACTGACTTCCTTACCCGATCTTTATAGTCGCAAGACCGTGATTTCAACCCTTCAAGTTTACTCTATGTTTACCTTTCCCTTTCGGCAGGATAAAAAATATTTGATGGCGACTTCATTGAGTTTTCATCTTCGATGATTTTTCCAGTTGTTTCAGTTGGAAACTTCACCGGGGAGAGATTGACAAAATGTTGGTCCATCCTTGTGCAAGTCAGTCCTAGCTTGTGTTTGTTTTCATTTCTATTGGGTGTTTATTTTTTATTGCTTTCTAGCTTTGTTTGTTTATATGCCTTGCTTATATGCTTTCATGCATTGCATTTTATTGCTTCTTATACTCTGGATACTGTTGTTGTGCTGTTTCTCTGTGGGGTTGGGATGTTACTTCTTGAGGTAAAAGGCTCAGTACCCAGGCCAGAGTTGTGAACTCATAAGAAACCTAAGAATAGAGTGGGGACATGATAGCTATAAGACGTGGTCTGATTAGTGCAGTCATGTCATAAAACCACACTCAGATGAGGTCCATATGAAAGTATTTTCATCATGCACGTCAGTGTTGCGATGATTTTACTTTCAGGTGGACCCTTGATTTTTGAGTTACCCTTGCGTTACCCTAACCTAGTCTTCACCCGTGAGCAGGAGGGATGATTTCTTACAGGTACAGTTGGTGACTTTGGTTCTGATGGTGGCTTTAGATTCTGATGGTGAATATGATTCTGTTGGTGACTAGTGTTGGTGACTCATGTGTGTTCCAAACTATACCGGACCTTTGATTTTGTGATACTCAGTCGTTTCAGACAACCGCATGACAACATCCAGTATGATGGAAGCCTTAATGATGTCATTGTTGCATCATAGCATATTTATTTTAAAAAATGATGTACAAAAAAGTTAACTTGCATATGTATTGTCATTTTCTAGGGATATTCAAGAGTTAGTATCTTCATTAGAGATGGCTACCAGACACATCTTTTTCTATGGTTTCTTCCATGAGGATTTGACACCATTAAGAGATTTAGGCGCTCAAGTTGTCAAGCACAGTTCGAAAAGCTTCACTTAAGACTATGGCAATATTCTGTCTCTCTTGAATGCTACCAGTGAGCCGTGGGCTCTACCCACTCTTCTACAGTTTTACGACCCAAAGTTGTGTTGCTTCACTTTCTAGGACTATCAGCTTCTTACTACTCTAGAGGAGTATGCCTTCATTCTTGACATCAAGGTTCAAAATCGAGTTCCTTTTGCCAACATTTCATAGGTGTTTAATCTTGAAGCTATCGACGAGGCTCTTTATTTGAGCCTGAACGATGTGAAAGGGAATTGGAAGAACAAAAGTGGCGTCTTTGGCTTTTCTTCCATATTTCTGACAAATGAAAGCAAAAGAGTTTGCGAGTGAAAGAAACTTGTTGGCCTTCAATGATGTGGTGGCTATCTTGATTTATGGGATAGTTTTGTTCCCAAATGTCACAAGCTTTGTAGATTGCACTTCTATTTATCTCTTCATGGATAAAAACCTTGTGCCGACTCTTCTTGCTGATACTCACCACTCTATTTACTCCAATTATGGAACGAAAGAAACAATTGTTTGTTGTTTTCCATTAATGAATAAGTGGTTCATGACTCATCTACCTGTAGGTGGACCGTTTATGGATGTCCGAGGCACTTACTCAATTTCTCAAAGAATCATGAGTCTCACTCATCATGATAAAATGGCATAACCCTGAGATGAATATCTCTGAGATCATTACAAGCTACGAGGAGGATGCTAGTGCTGGAATGCCTTTTACCAGATGGGTCATGAAGAGAGTTGAAACTCTGTTATTTCCTTACCCCAGAGAAGAATCATTCCATTAACAAATTCCACGAAGTAACTTTTGTCTTTATGTTCTTGATTGTCTCATGATTTTCATCACAATATTTGGATAGGATCTTGACGCCTTATTTTTCTACCATGGGTGTAAACTCAGTTGATTTTGGATCTCTTATGATGTGATATTGTCTCGTCTGTATGAATTCATCTGATTTGTACCTTTATTAAGAAAATAGAGTTTGCTTTGATACCTTGTCTTGACTATTTCTTATATCTATTATCTTTTTTGGTATTTATTGATGGTTTGCAAAGTTCTCAGATACCTGGGAAATGACACAAAAAACATAACATGCATAATCACACATTTCATGCATTACAGGTTTTTTTACTGGTCTTCTTATCTTGTGGTTCTGCTTTTTCTTAGCAGAGTTGTTCAATGATGACTACTCACAGATACTGAACAAGAAGTTGTTGATGCCTTGACAAGGACCAGGGGAAAACAAGTGATGATTGGTAATTAGAAACTTGTGCAGGCTAGTGTGCCTAAACCAATTGATGTGTGTGGGACTTCTATAACTCGTAATTATGAGATCGAAGAGTTGATAAGAATCATAAGAAATAGGGATTACGACATCATAGAGCACCTGCATCGAACACCCTCTAAGATGTCTATTTTATCTCTGTTGATATATTCTGAAGCTCATCGAAATGCTTTGATAAAGTTACTGAAAAATGCTATCCTGCCACAAGAAATAATAGTAGGCCATTTTGAATCGGTTTGTGCCAACATATCCTCTAGAAATGGTTTGGGTTTTAGTGATTTTGATCTCCCTCTTGGGGGCCGCGACCACAATAAGTCATTGAACACCTCCATGGAGTGAAAGGGAACAACTTTGACAAGGATATTGGTAGACACTAGGTCTTCATTGAATGTATTGCCGAAAGTTGCATTATTGAAAATTCATTATTCTGATGGAGTTGCATCCCAGTAATTTGGCTGTGAAGGCTTTTGATGGATCTAGGTTATCAGTGTTTGGTGAAGTAGATCTACCTATTAAGGTTGGTCCCCGGGTTTTTATCGTTACTTTATAACTGATGGATATATAGCCAACATATTGTTGTTTATTAGGGCGCCCATGGATTCATAAAGCAAAGGAAGTTACCTCTACCCTTCATCAGTAGCTCTAGTATCCTCTGGATGGAAAAAAATCATTGTTTGTAGTGAGAAAGAATATATTGTGAGACATTTGACTTCATTCCTTTATGTGGAGGTTGAATGAGAAGTTCATGTAACTCTGTT